GATACTGTCAGACAATGATTTGTCTTTCTATTAAGTTTTTATTGAATTTTCTTGCATTGTGTGATATAATGGTCAGTGGATACAAGACCTGAAAATTAACAGTTGGTCCACAATCCATAAAAGGAAACAGCAAAGGCAAAATAAATAAACTAAACATTGATCTGTTTAAGTAGAACTCTTTTATTCTTTTGTTTTGGTCTTTTTTGGTCTAAATGATCTGTTACATTATTATTTTTCAGTCATTGGTAGAACTCTGATTAATGCCTTTCTGTCTTTCTCCTACCAAATCAGGTCGGCTCTCCAGGATTCCTGCTCATATCTGGCCTGGTGGAGCCGGTGGTGCGAGCCTACTCTCTTATTACAGACCTGGTAGAGAGGTATGAGGGCACACAGTCCAAGCGCATGGGGGACGGAGGCTCAGGTGAGTCCCTGGATTCACGACGGGCCTTTAAAACTCTGGTGGAGAAGTGGGAAGACAGGCACATCCTGGATCTTCTTGTGCTGCCAGGATCAGTAAAGGAAATCCTGTTGGACTTGGTGAAAGAAACGGGACTTGGATCAAGCCCTAGTTCATCACTGACTGATGTAAATACAGAGGCAAGGCCACATGGGGATTCAGAGGATAGGTCTAAAATACCCAGTGCCCTAAAGCAAACAGTCCCTGATTCTTCTACCACTACTGAGCGATGGGCTGAAGGGATGGCTGCAGGCGCAGGAAATGACTTTGCAAATAAAGACTCCTTCCAGGCTTTTTCCATGTCTGCAGGCACCCGAGGGAGGGCAGAGGGTGCTGAGGAAAGACCCACGCATTCACCACAGGAGGTGGGAGAAGAGCACTTGGGCCAAGCAACAGCATCCGGGAAGGAAAAAGAGCAGGAGTTGCAGCTGTCGATGGGAAACAAGGAGTTTTGGCTTCTTTTGAAATTCTTTACCGCCATGGGATACACAGAGGAGGTTGTGAAACGAGTGCTTGCCAGAACAGGACCTAAAGAGGCATCGCAGATTCTGGACTTAGTTCAACAGGAGCAGGACCGCAGTGACCAAGAGCAGAGAAATCGGGTTCTCCCAAACCCAAAGAGGGAAGACGCTGTCGACATGAATCAGACAGAGAAAAACCGACCCTGTGAGACAGAACACAGAGAAGATGGGGGAGAAATAGCAGGAGGCGGTGGAGCCATACGTAGCGATGGAGAAACTGAAGAAGGACGAGAGGGGGAAGACGCAACAGGGGATGCAAGACACAATCAGGGAAAAGTCAGCGCAGACGTAATGAATAAAGAGCAAGAGGAAGACTTTGTGCTGGGGGTGTTGAAGAAAGCGGCAGCCAGCTGTGGGTACCCCGAGCAGAACGTAACCAAACTGTACAACTTGTTGCCTGATGGATCGACTCACCAGCTGCTCCTGCAGCTGCAGAAAGAGGGAGTCAAAGAGGCAGGAGCCTTCAGAGAAGGACCGAGAGAGATGGATGATGTGGTCTTGGACACTGGCGGGTCAAAACTTCAAATAATACCAGAACTTCAGCCTTATAAACCTCCAGAAGAGAGAGAATTCGATGGGCGAGAAAAGATAAGGGTGTCAAGGATGGATAGTAGTGTCCCTATTGAGGGACGAGATATTTGGAATAATGAACCCCAGCAGTCGCCGGTGACCTTGTACACCTCACAGCAAAAGCAACACCAGCCTTCAAAGTCACAAACTCCTCACCACATCATCCTACCTGGGGTCAAAGGGCCACCAATGCCTACTTATGCCTCATCCATGGATCCTCAGCTCACCAATTTCCAATCTCATAAGCAACAAGGCAACACCAACTACTTGCCTAATCCATCTCCCACAAAACAGAATCATCATGCTCAGAACAATGGCTCAAAGCACTCCTTTAAGCAAGCCCTTCAAGCTCCTCAGCCTTTATTCCCTGGCACGAAGGACTCGTCTCCCACCAGAGCGAGGGACAAACGGGGTTTCGCATCTACTCCTTCAGTGGTGGTGACAGGAGAGCAGCGATTCTTGGAGAGCCTGCAGATCCCCTTTGAACTCAAGCTGACAGACCAGCCCGGAGACCCAACACTGAGGACGATCATAATTGATGGGAGTAA